AAACCAGCAGGACGTGGCCCCAAAATTGGGGCGAAAGGCGCTGTTCCCCGGGACGAGGCTCTTCGGCAGGACCTGCACGATAACTGTTACGGAAACTATGACAAGAGGCAGACCAAAGGCAAGTGCGCAATATACTCTGAACTTCTTTGTGTCATTGGCCAGGATGTCACTCAGCGGTACCAGACTTATAGTTGCTCTGAAACAGAAGAGTGTACTCTATATTGGCACTCATTTGCAGGCTTATATACACGTACAAGAGTCGCTCCAAGTTCACGTTATCCATTATACTGAAATCACACTGCAAAAAGACTATGCATACGTACTTCACCACACGCCAGATGTCAAAACACATGATATTTATCCAAGCAAAGGTTGCTAGAAATGAATACTGCACGATGAACCCTGTAAGTAAAGTAATGCTGCTATAATCACTATTACTCCACCCAAGAGCATTATATGATCTGCAAATCTTCATGAAATTATATCTTTCATAACAGCTAAATGAAGTAAAGAAATAACTTTGCATTATCTTCATTTACACCCACCCACTGAAAGAGTCCTATTGCCTGATCTTTTCTCACTTTCTAATTATACCGAGGCATAGTCAGATTGCATTTGTTTTTTGCAAATGTTTGAATATAGTGCGGTTATATAATTTGATATATATTCCCACATCAGTCATCCTATATTTCAGGAAAAAAGTCACGAGAAATTATCAGTAAAACGCTTCTAACTAGGCATTGAAGAGGAGAGAGAAGGGTAGATGCCATAGAGAGAGAGAGACAAAGGGAATGAGAAGAGAGGAGTGAAAGAGAAGGGAGAGAGTGAAAAGAGAGAGAAGAGAGAGAGAGAGAGAACTTACTGGGATTGAGTTAGGGATAGTCAGTCCAAACCTCCCTTTTGGACCCCAGTGCTAAGTAAAGCTCTCTCCCCCCGCTGTACTCTCCCTCTGCCTCCGGAAGCCTTATTCCATCCCATTCCCCTAACTCCCAAGTCCAAATTTAGGCTTAAGGGCTTTTCTTCTGGATACTCTTTGATAAAAGGGATACATAGGAGTATATCGAATGTGCATTTGCGGCTGAAGCAAGTGGTTACAAGAAATTCTTGGTTTGGGATTTTGGGTTAACAGCATTGTTTCGGTCTGTCCATATGGGTTTAACACATACATACACACATATATATATCGGCATCACCAGTCATGTACCAGTTACAGACACATTTTCAAACTGTCAGAACTTGGAGTCAAGGGATAAAAAAAGAACATCGCCATGGGCAGCAAGTGGACGTTTTCTCTGGGAATCTTCTGAATTAGTGTTATCCTCAAGTTATAGTTTGATTTTCTGTGTCCGCCTAAGAAAAGGCCCTGTACCTGATCGATAAGGCGCTGCCACAAATCTCTACAAAAGCCGGGACTTGGCTGAATGACATTGTGCCGAGTCGAAACAGTATACTATTAGGGTGCCAGTTATTCAATTCATGTTCTTTTGGCTTGGCTGGGTGTTTTCCGTCACTGGCCATAAGTAGGATTACTAGAGGGAGCAATGACTAGTAGACTAGAGTGTATAGGGGGTATGTGTTTCGGATGCACGGTGAAATTAACCATTTATGATGCAGGATGTCGGCGAGACATGTTTGGAGGACCAAGATGAGCAGATGAGCGCTGCATCGGCCACCAGTAGCGATATCATGTGGCACAGGAAGCAGAGTCCTTGTACATCTCGCAACTTCTTGGTGAGAGCATGGTTCAAGATCGTCAAGGCCAGAAATAGACACGACACGGCTAGGCATATCTTTACCATATAGTTCTTCATTGCCAGCAAAGGACTCTGTTCGCGGGCGCAATAAACGGCTGTATCTATAGTCCCTGGAAGGGAAAGAAAACAGATTAATTATAGAATGAGTTTAATTGTAAATAATTGATAAGTGACTCAACACCTTAACTTTATTTCACTTTAACATTTACTAATGGATGATACAAATTCACTCAAGAATTCACTCAAAAAATAATATGGCATCGCGATTAAGGAATTTTCCACATACTTCCATTACGAGCAAGGCAGTAACTTCCTATTTCATGCCAGTCGCCGAAGAAAAGAGAGAGTGCGCCGTCTTCGTTCACGGCGAACTCATTTTCACCGTCAGTACTCGCGTTGTAGACAGTGAGGAAATGGCGAGAGTCGCACTTCGGAGTGCTTACTACGAAATGCACGTCGGTATCTTCTGTTCCTGGCAGAGATTCATTCCGAATGCACTCGAGATCTCTCAAGAAATCGCCCTCCGCACAACACCTCTAGCGTATATATATATATATTTTTTATTATTATCATTATTTTTAACAGCTATTCATTCCACTGCAAGACATAGGCCTCTCTCAATTCACTATTGAGAAGTTATATGGCAGTGTCACCCTTGCCTGTTTGGATTCCTAATCAACCGCTAGCACTTGTGTCACGGCGGTGACTTCCCCTACGACACCTGCGTTTGACTTAAGGCAATATGTCGTTTTCTCGGGCTCGAGCTAGCAGTCAGAAATTGAATTCGGGACCACGAGGGTCGAAGTCCAGTGCTCTAACCACTGGACCATCGCGGCAGTCATACATATATATGTATATATATATATACACACAGACCAACATATATGCATACACATAAATATATATATACCGTATTTTCGTTTTTAAATCGTCAAAAAATCGTGCAGGTACGTTTTAAGTCAAACCCAGTCAATGCCGAAAATTCAGCTATGTTATGTTTCTTCGCCTGATTTGTTTTTAAATCAGTGATATGAATAAAGATCTTACCTTACGGGAGTGAAAGGATACGTTGTAATAAAATAATCTTGAGTAAAACTGACTTTCTTATAACATTTTTTTTTTGTGAAATGTGGAATATTGCAATCTATCGCAAAAAAAAGGAATGAGCATATCTTTGTTTTTACCTTTTGAATATCTGGACGACATAGATATGCGATATATTTTCCTATGTGGTTGACCGCCACGCAGAACTCAGTCGTTCTCCTCGAAAACACATCCTCCCACTTCAGCTCCACCCTGGCCTCGCGTGTGACCAGGGAGTCGTTTCCGATGTCCGTGTCATGCTTTATGTAGCCCTCTGAACACGTGAGGGGATGGAATGACCAGGAAGTTTCCGATGAAGAGCTTATGGGAGGTTCGAAGACGCCCACTGTGCCACCGGTACATTTTCCGTCGGTGAGAACTTGACTATCCGGGCAGCAGCGCCGTCCCAACGCGACGGAGGCATACGTCGTGTCCAAGTACAGGGCCGGCAAGAGTAGGCCTAGGCGCAGCAGAAACATTGCGTCTCAGGGCCTTGGGGGAGTCAGTGGACAGCCTGGAAATCCAAGAAAAAGAACATCCAAGGAGTAGAGGGTTGTCTGTTTATTAGCACTATATATATATATCTATGTGTGTGTGTGTCCAGTGGACTCCGACCCTCGTAGTCACGAGTTCAATTCCCCGTCGCGGCGGTTGTAAAAATGCCTGCGCTCTGGCTTCTGGCTCGAGCCCGAGATAAAGACATTTCGCCTTGAGAAGTCAAAGGAAGGTTTCCAATCAAACAATATAACATCTCAATAGTGAATTGAGAGAGGCCTATGTCCTGCGGTGGAATGGATGGCTGTTAAAAAAATTATCTATCTATCTATGTATGCATATGTATGCATACACAAATCATATATTATGTAACACATATATATGATATATAGATATACATATATGCACACGAAAGAACAAGAATATCTGGCCACAAATAAGAGTCAACTAGGCTAGCCTGCTGTAAAAAGGCATTCATTCATTCCACATATACAGTACATGGTGAAATGCGACACCGTTCACTGCTGAGTATTAAGAAGGCTTAAACCAAAATATAAAGCTTGTAGCGAGTTTACCTAAGCGACGATGCCACAGTCCTTGGTAACATCCAGAGAGTTCAATTAATCTGACAATTAAAGGAGTTATACCCCAAACATTTTATAACAGAAACTTCAAATACCTAACAAGACTTATATAACCTCTTCTGTAACCGAGGAACGAGCAGAACGGATGTGACGTCCAAAAATAAACTAATGGTCAGAAGCGACAAGGGAAATTTAGAGACATAATCAATCGGTGAATGAAGGTACACGGATCCGAAGTTGTGGACATGCCGGTAGTCCTTTGTGTTTCGTCTGAAGTTAACTTATAACCAAGTTCTGATATAGGCCATATATTTATTCGTGGGTACAGCAAGCGTAGTTATTTTGCCTGACCATGGGTAATGCATAAAGAGTCCTAGAGATTATTAACGCCGACAAATATTTTTTTCTGCTATACAAAATAATGATTTTCAGTACTGGTTATTTGGTAATTGATCTTTCTGTCCTTCGCCTAGATGAAATAGGAACTAGGAGAGGGAAAGATGAAGAGAGAGAGAGAGAGCAAGAGAGGGAGATTGGGTAGAGAGAGAGGGTTGGGGGGGAGATAGAGAGAGAGTGAGAGAAAGAGAGAGAGGTAGAGAGTGAGAGTGTGAGACAGACTGATGAAATGTTTTAGGGGAAAAATGTGAACAAATAGGAAAATACACGAATTATCTCATATCTATCTTATTTTCGATTTGTGATAAATATTCTAAGCTAGAAGATATCTTTGCGAAATATTTGAATAAATCCTAGGTAGAATATTTCGGGTCAGAATGAAAGAATATTTCACCATTCATAATTTGCCAACAAATTACTGGTAATTATACAAAATATCTAGACTTTCTATACAGCACCTTTACTCCTGTAATTTTTAGCAATAGATAGGCCTACATTACATATATGAAATCGTTCCTATCATTTAAAAAATGGTGTAGGTCTTCAGATAACTAAGAAAATAACTTGTTACTGTTCCATCAATAATCAGAGCACGTTCTATGGTATTCGCAAATATTTGATATAAAACGATCTTGCATGATAAAAAGAAAATTCAAGTTAGAATTTCTACCATGAAAAAACTTTCTATATGACGGCTTTCACAGGGTTTGAAAAGTTATCATGTTTGTGCCTACCAGAAATATTAACTAGAGTATATTGCAGATTCATTATTTTCTTCATTGCTATTACTATGGCCATCGGGGATATTCGAAGTGTGTTTTAGTCTACATGTTATTTGAAAGACTTATCTTTGCTATGAATAGCAGACATCCTCTTAAATGGTTATTTACGTAACGTAAGGAACTTTTTTTGATGTTGCTATTCACAACGTTTTTGCTACATAAAATGTACAAGATTTTTTTTTTTTAATATTAATTCGTTTATTAATTTAATGCAAAACCAATTTCTTCGTCGGTAATTCCACTATCATTACTGTTTTCTTCCACGTTTTCTTCACATACTAAGCAGGGGAACGAGTCGTCTCACATTAGGGTAGTTTGTTTACATTGATAGCAAGCTGGAAGTTGGGACTATTTTTCGATGAATTCGCCAAGACGAAGCAAACCAAACCAAACCATAGCTTCGCGTTTCTCGTAAAAAAATGCGCCTTTATTATCAGAGAGAGAGAGAGAGAGAGAGAGAGAGAGAGAGAGAGAGAGAGAGAGAGAGAGAGAGAGAGAGAGAGAGAGAGAGAGAGAGAGAGAGAGAGAGAGAGAGAGAGAGAGAGAGAGAGAGAGAGAGAGAGAGAGAGAGAGAGAGAGAGAGAGAACACGCTTCCGCCACGCTGTAAACATTGCCACCACTCGTATCCTCCCATGAGGACTGGGTTTCCGTTTGTTTATCTCTTAAACCAACGCTTTGCTTAGCATGGGGCCACAAATTCTTCCCACCTGCAAGGGAACTTGCCGATTTCTTTTCGGAAGACAGGATGTGAAATTCTCTATCAGTGTCTTCCCACGCGAATAAAATCTTCAAGATTACGGCATGCTTTCAGTTTGCTTTACTGTTATAATAGTTTATACTATAAGTGTTGTATTATTGCTATTACTAATGATATAGTTACGACTGGTTTAGGCATTGTTTACGATTTTAATTTTCTTCTGGTTATTCTTATTATTTACTACGACTGTCGTTATTCATACACTGATATTTTAAACTCATTATCAATATCACTAATATGATCATTACTATCAATATGATTATCACTATTAATGGTATTATTATCATTAGCGTTATTCCCAATTTATTATCATTAGTATTTATATCAGACAGCATTAATATTAGTATTGATGTTAATGTTATTATTGATATTACTATTATCATTATTTTTTATTCCCATAATCATTACTCTTATTAGCATGATTCATGACTCCTGAAAAATAGCAAAACTTTCTAACGTCTTGGTAAACGAGGAGAAAATCAACAGTTTTGAAATCCTTCTGGTCTTATATTCAAAAAGGTGTCAGCTTGTTCCTTTTGAACTTTCCTTGGTCTTCGGTGAGTCACATCCTGGCGTACCCACCTGCCGACGGAGATATTTTGGCCCCTGTCACCGACGGCTCACAATCGAACCATCATCCCTGCTCGGTTTCGATGAATGGTGAATGCGCAGATGTTACTATCTTTGTTATTCGCGTGTTTAAGTCCATTTTTTATTTTGTCAGAATTCTAGTTGGGAATTCCATCTATCGATTCAAGAGTGCGTGGAGGGTGTGTGGTATTAAGGTTGAGAACCACTGGCCAAAGAGCTTTATTTGTTAATTCTTTTCTCGCTCTCCTCAAGCGAGAATATCTGAACTTTACTGCCCTCACAGCATCCCTGAATTAGTTTTTTTTTTTCTAGATAGATCCCGACATGAAAATACCAACATGGAAATACCCATTCTTTACATAGGAAACCTGGAGCTTAACGTGGGTCATAAATATATATATTCAGGGGTAAAAGTTAATGTAGATGTCATCGTTTCTCTAATGAAGAGACTCTGGGATAGACTGAAACCGTTGAAAGTTCTTGTCGATAAAGGAAGTGACATCATTGTTGTTTTACTTTGTTTTTTTTGGTGCAGTTTGAAGAATCAGAAATAAAAAGCTTAGAACCAGAGAAAAATATAGCCTTGGAGATTACGCTCGAGAATATGAGATGAGAACTAAACCTACCATCTATTTTTGATAGAATAACATAAAATCGTTACTAAATGTGCATTTTGCATGTCTGCCACCAAGTGCGAGCTTAAAGAGTAACCACTATGTGAATTAAATGTATGATATTCATCTCAGAATTTGTTCTTGTACCTCCAAATATGCATAAGATTAAAAAAAAAAAAAAAAAAAAAAAAAAAAACGCGTTTTATATTTATAGCCTTTTGAATGAACAAATTCTGGGCCCAAAACGTCGTCTGCTACAGCTTATGACTCAAATATTACCAGTAACCCGGGAATGACGTCATGAGTTGTGTTCATCTTTGTAATCGCCGTGAATTCATGGATGAGAACCTTTTGTGTGATATTTTCGTGTGATATTTTGTATGCAAACGATTCTTCTTGCCTAATATTTCCCAGCACCATCTTACTAGTTTGCGGTATGCAGTGTATCTATACTTCCTGCAATAATGAGTGGAAAAAAGGAACTTAACTGTATATAATTTTTGAAAGATTTATTGTGATAACTAGTTTGAAATAAAATAAATGTTCTAGTGTTGTAAATAAGCACACGTTATTTACTTGTTTATTTATTTAAATCACCTAGAGTCGAGTGTAAACATATAATGTACTTAATAACTGTACAGAATATTCACGATCTTATTGGTGGCAGTTCAGTAGAATCAGTTGAAAAAACTGGGGGGGTGGGGGTGGGGGGGCAAACGAAAGTAATGTAAGAATGGACTAATAATTAGGACAACGTAAATATGGGAGGGACAGACGAGGGAATGAGGACAAAGGAGAAGAATGCAAAGGACAAGCGAAAGTAGTGAAAGTGGCGAGCCTAGACGCCGTATAGACTCATCAATAGTACCTCAGAATACCCTCCTAAACTAACGTTAGAGACATGAGAGAAGGGGTGTAAAAAACTGAAATGCCGCGGATTCCAAGAGCTCCTCTTAAGACAAATACTCGGGCTCAAATTGGTAACCAAGCACAACACCGTCTTGCCAAACATGCCATACATCTTCACTGTTATCGGAAATGCTTATAGAGTCCAGACTTGAAAAGCTATCAACACTGGATGATGAAGAACACGCCATAGCCATAATACACAACACTAACACTAACACAGCTCATGACGTCATCGCAACTAATTCCAAGAGATGGCACTGCAAACAGAATTTTAATGTGTAAATTAACAGACGACGCATATTTCGGTAAAAAAAAAAGCTTCAAAACGATATTTTTAGACAGATTTTTTTTTTTTTTTTTTTGCACCAAGTTGCTTTTGAAAAAGTAGTATCTCAGCAATGAAAAAATGCAAAGTTTTGCACAAGCTTAGTGGTTACTCTTTAAACAAATCGTACTAGTAGCGGTTAATGAACACAGAATCTATACGAATGTTATACCGATGCATCCCTCCAGTCTGGATACAAAGCTGGGTGCGTTTCTGTTGAACACAAAAATGGATTACAGCAACATCAATTTAATATGAAAGTTCATCATACGACCTGCACTACACAAGCAGCATTGGCAGGTATACTCCTTTCAAAAACAGATGGTGATGAGATAGTTGTGAACTGCATGAAGCTTGGAGAAGAAAGTGCGATTTCAATATTCACTGTATATGGACATCATCACATGTTGGTATACACAAGTATGAGTATGTAAACAGATTAGCTATAGAAGTCTGCAGCGAAGCCAGTGTAAACATGGATCTTGGGATGCCTCTTGCTAAGGCTGCACATTAATGAAAAGTTTTCATAAAGAACAGGTAGATCTGACGAGTTCACAAAGGCCTAAAATGTTAAGCATATGGCACTATGATCATTATAGGGATTGAAAGCCCTTCTATGGGTGATGCCAAATAAAACCAGACAATGCGACGTGGTAATTAACAGAAAAATAAGTTTGGTTACAGAATACACTGGCAATTGCATGATGGAAGTAGTGCAAATGAATCTAAGTATAGAATGTAACAAAGAAAATAAACACTTGAGCACTATATCTCGGAGTGTCATCTGATATACCCTTTCAAACCACCTAAATAACTTTGATTATTTAATTTCATCTGGAATATACATTCACACGATATCCTCGATTTACTATAAACATAAGACACTAATGTAAGCGTATGTATTATAAATGACTTGTATCTTCATTCAGACATGTAGAATCACAATAAATACAGAATACTGCAAAACGTCAAGTGCATGCAGAACTATTTAATAATGATTGCCCACGCCTGAGCACATAGCCAGGGTTATAAATAAACTTACGTAACATAAGGGAAGCTGTGCATGTATCTATATCTGTATCTATATATATATATCTATATATATCTGTCCGATGTTACATGCGTTTCTCTTGCATAACTCTTGTTATACAAGATGAAGGCAATGTCTTTGTAAATACACATATACCTTGTGATCATCGTACTTCAAGTTTATAAAACCTATTCAAAATTTATCATCCTACCAAAGAATGTTCATTGAATACAATCTACCTGTATACATACCTTAACAGCCTATAAAAAAACTAGAAAATCCAATTGAGTTTGTATGAGATTACCCATTTAATTTTTAGTAGCAGCCTGGTCGGGGAACGCCACTTTAGGCAAATGCTGAGCAGAAATTACACATAAATAAACAGTCTACAAAACACTGCATATTACACAATTTGGAACATTGGTTAAGTTCTGCATGTAAGGCAAATCTACCGGCAATTGATTCAGATGCATATTTCCAGCTCACTGCCCTAGCACCTGGTCTACTCACTGACTCATTGGGAAAAATTAAATTCTGTGCGACTTACAGTCTTTGGCTTCCGGGAGCAGCAGCACGAGAATAGCCTTCGTCAGTGGTCAGACCAGAACTGCACACACTCGCACCCAAACGAGCTCCGAGAACTGCATCTGATTCAGTTGCCGGAGATTGTGTACTCCGACTGTAAACCTTATACAGATTTAGCACTAAAGTAAGTGATTAAAAAAAGGATCACTTGGGTCTTGTCAGCCAAAGGATTGCGTTACTGTTAACATTAGCTTTGACCCTTTTTTTTTTTTTTTTTAATCTTGTCTCATCTTTACTAACAAGCAAAACCAACACAACTCTTGCCTCTTCGATGGTTTCATTTATCCTTCGCATTATGATTTCCTCGTTCTGGTTATTTTTGTTTTCCACCTTCCACTACCTTCGTATATGCCTCTCATTCCTTCGTTTGTCCCTCCCATTCCTTCACCCGCTCCTTTCTTTTCTTTGGTTTGTTCCTTCCACTTAGTCTGTCCCTCCTCCTTCTTCGTTTGTCCCTTCCATTCCTTTCGTTTATTACTTTCACTACTTTCGCTGGTCCCTTCCATTCTTCTCATTTGCCCTTCTCATTCCCTCGTCTGTCCCTCCCATATTTACGTTGTACTAATCATTAGTTCATTCTTACATTACTTTCGTTTGCCCCCCCCCTCAAAGTTTTCAATTTTTTTTCAACTGATTCTACTGAACTGCCACCGATAAGACAGTGAATCATCGTGAATATTCTGTATAGTTATTAAGTGCATTATATGTGTACGCTCGACTCTAGGTGATTTAAATAAATAAATAAGTAAATATCGTGTACTTATTTACAACCAGGGGAGACTCGTCGTACTTTTTCAGCATGGAATAGAACTCAACTGTAATAGGTACATGGGAGAAAACGTTTAGGAAGACTATTCTAAAAGTTATATGTAAAAGCTTGGGCGAAGAAGATTGATATAAACCTAGAACGATTAAGATATTTAGATTTTGAATGTCGGGAAAGCAGAAAGTCTGAAGGAACGTGGATAAAGGAAATTTGACAAATTTTTTTCCATATATGTGCAACTATTAAGGTTAACTATTGGAGCCCGCAACAGTACTAAGGCAAGGTAAACTGACAGTCAAATCCCTTTTCTGAATCATCTTTTTTTTTGTTTTTTGTTTTTGTTTGCATTTTTCGTATATATTCTGGATTCTGAATCCCTGAAATGCATCTTACCCGAGAAAAGAATCAGTGTGTGTTGTTCTGCTTGTTGAAATTTGAATGATGTTTTTGTAACACTAAGATTTATGGCACAGCTCGCTTACCTCGTCACTATATACTACAGATAAAATATGCAATTACTATGTATGAGTCAATATACACGACGTATGCCAGAATCAGGTGAAAATCCTTATAGATAATAAATTTCTCTAGATTAGGATTGGCTTGGTCTCGGCTTATAATGAAACTAAATTCATCGTTATATGTTTATAACACCATCAAACACAATTCACACTATATCACGTCATTAATGTTTCTTAATGTTTCACTCTCCTTTCTCGTCTCATTCGTTTTCCAGAATAAGCACCATTCCAATGACCACTTCCACTGCTTCCATGGGTGTTCCACAGCCAGCCGTTTAACCCTCGGCGGGAATAGCCCATTTGTACAGCAGGATTGAAAAGGCACCTCTCCTCCTCCTCTGTTTTTTTTTTGTTTTTTTTTCTACAAAGGATTCTTCCTTAACACCTTGGTGCCGGGTATGACGTGTACGTACGTGCTATGCCCACAGTGAGTACTTGTTTGATTGTTTTTACGCATAGATGGCAACACTTGTACTAACTCCCCATTGAGCCAGTTACGAGCACCGCCAGTCTCGCCCGTTTACCCGTTTCTTTGATTTACAAAATATTTTACGTAATCTTATTTTGCTGTTACTAATGTTAAAAAAAAAATTAAAAATTATAATGTTTATGATAAAAATAACACCCTCGATTTTCATAGCACTAGTGAAAAATACGTTTTTCCCGCCATTTAAATCAGGCGCTAGCAGAGCCATCTATCGGCAGACATTTCACGAAAACATAGAAAGTGGGCACAATATTTTCCCCATTTTTTGTTCATTTTCCCCGGCTTAAGCTGATGTCTCCAGAACTCCAAAACTCGTATGGAAGCAGTAAAAGTTCAGTTCAGTGATACATGCAAAGACCTATACAAAATAGTACATACACAAAAAATTGGAGAACCTAAATTCTCAAAGATAGGGAAGAAGACAGTTCTAAGATGATAATTGTTTGTCGTAAATTTGTATTAAGAATGTTCTAATGCAACCGTATTTGCTTTCGGTTTAGTCAGCAGGGTGTGGAAGGCTTAGGTAGTTGGTCTATGTTGATTATCAGTATGTCTAGTGGTGTCTTCGTTTGGATTGCTTTCGTTGCCTTTCGACGCTTGGCAAACACACTCAACTCTCGAAATGCACGATGTTTGGCAGCTACGGTTTGCCCGCCGCATACCCGACGTTTTTTCACTGAATAGCTGATAGTTTTCACGATACCGTGAGTGAAGTTATTTAGAAAACAACGCAGGTTCTTGTCCCCTATTCACGAGATAAGAAACTGAGTGTATGGGTGGTTAACGAATATGAGGAGCCATTCATTTTCAAACTAGGTTTTCCTATTGCTAAAATATAGTCAATTACCTAGATAATAGGATCTGAGACTGAACCATGGAATGAAGCACAGTATGATTACGAATGTAAATGTCAGCCGAAGAGGTCCCATATTTTACAGTAATTATACACAAATGTCAAACATAATTCAGATCTTAATATCAAAGGGTTACTTGGTCACTTAGACGATTATGAAGATGATTTTGATCGACTGTTTGTTTTAAGTGATTTTGGATAAGCCGAGGATGATTGTCACGTCTTTTCGAATTGTCCATACGAGGTGAAAGCCCCATCTGCAGCATAATATTCATATGACCAATCAGGAGCCCATACGCACAAAAAATGGGAGATTATCCGAGTGTATGCGCACTCACACATGTATGTGTGTATACATATATATGTATATATACATATATATATATATATATATATATATATATATATATATATATATGTGTGTGTGTGTGTGTGTGTGTGTGTGTATATGTCTGTGTGTACACACATACATGTATATGTATACGTATATAAATACATGTCCTGTATTATAACATTAAACTGCTTTACAGAAGACGGAGACGTAGCACCAAACCCCAGCAAGGCCCCTTCTGGCTAAAGGATATGTCCCTACTGGTAGACCTGGTCCTCCCATCTTCTGGAGTACTGCCCATGATACTTAGCCTAGCCAGTGCATCGGGAGAGGAGAAGGGAACTCTGATTTCATGCCTTGTAGGGTATACCTTTTCAGGCAAAGGCTAGGAGAAGGAAACTCTGAATCCAAATCCACCTGCTGCCAAAGGATAGAGATGGTGTCTCGAAAAATACTCGGCAGAAGGCAAGGGCAAACCACTGCTGTTGCATGATTTTTTATACTGTTTTCATCTTCGCTTTCGATCGGGGCGAGAAGAGGGAGTTGTCCCTGGGAATAACAATAGCATTATCATACAATGAGAAAATAGGAAAGAAGGAGCAGAGGGCGGATCCAAGAGTGTATTCTGGAGAAAAAAAAATAAAGTTTAAAATTCTTATCTATGTATATTGTTTTGATAAACTGTGCGGGGTAGATGAAAGTTCGTGTTGTTGGCTTGTCCACTTAAATCTTTTAAATAGGTAACAGAAACATAACCTGAAATGAAGAAATAAGAGATACAAAAAGTTGTTTATCAATTATCAAATGGTGTGGTCCACTTTTTTGTATATCATCTCCAGCAACAGGATGCAAGCGGGACATGATTATCGTAACTTCCTGCAAGCTAAATCTTATTAAATATGTTATTATTATCATATTTTTATTTTGTTTTATTTATTAATGCTAAAATAGATCTAGTGATCACTTTTGGAACAAGAAATTTCGGAGATGATATAGATATGCAAATTATGGTAAAAACAAAGGGATTGCATGCAACGACTTCGGCTGCATCGCACCTGCGTGAGTTGCCAAACCGCCGATATAAGGCGGACGGAAAGGGCCTGTCCTCTCTATCAATCTAAGGACTTAATGTGTAACGAGCACAAAGGATGTGAACATTGAATGACCCAAAAAATCATCTAGAAACTACCCTGGGTATACCTCACTTGGTCTTTATGCATATATTATTAGTTATATATACCTCAATTTTAGTCTTTAGCTATGTAAGATAAAAGGAATTAGTTATTTTTCTAGAAAGATGATACTTTATGCTATTATTTTAGCATAAAGCTCTATATATTTATACATTATTGTTTTACTAAGATTAGGAATCTGTAAAATATGATCCTATATATTATCCTATAAAGTATATATATATTTTTTGTTACCCCAACCATGCATTCTCTTACATACATTTCATATCTAAATGCTTTTATTTGTGCTCCAAATTCCCATAAAGGCATAAGACAAGGTCGTGACATAAATTGACCAAGAACTCGATACATAACACCATAAGACAGAGACAGATGATTTTTTTGGGGACATGTTATGCACAAAGAGAAGCTAGAGAATGTGGTACAGGGAAAGTTGAAGGAAAGCGCAGTGGCGGAAGACCAAGGCTGACTGAGAGAGAGAGATAAATACACACAAATGCACACACACACATACACATATATATATGCATATGAATATGCTCAATAACCTCTCAATAGAGAATTGAGAGAGGCCTATGTCCCACAGTAGAATAAATAGCTGTTAGAAAAAAATGCGTGCGTGCATATTTTGTACGTATGTATATTTGTATATGTTTTTATATAAATATTCTCTCACTATCTCAAGTCATCTCCCTCTCTCTCTATATCTGTCTCTCTCCCTCTCTCTCTATCTTATTCATTCTTTCCCCCTGTAAATATATACATATATATGTAGATATATGAATGTATATAAATATATATATTTATGTGTACATGTGTGTATGTACATACACATGTATATGTATTTATATATATGTATATATATACATATATATGCGTGTGTGTATGCATACATGTATATATATAAACACACACATATAAATGTATATATATATGTATATATATTTACATATATGTATATGTATGTACATGTGTATATATGTATATATACATATATATACATGTATATGCATATACATATGTAAATATATAAATATATATATATATATATATATATATATATATATATATATATATATATATATATATATATATATATATATATATATATATATATATGTGTGTGTGTGTGTGTGTGTGTGTGTGTATGTATATATACATGCATGCATACACCTCACCCCCGCATATATATACACACATATATATGTATATATGTATGCATGTGTGTATATATATTTTCTCTCTCCCTCTAGCCATCTCCCTCTCTCTCTATCTGTCTCTCTCCCTCCCTCTCTATCATCTTCACTCTTCCCTCTGTATATATATACATTTACATACATATATAGACATATATATAAACATACCTATATGTGTATACACACACACACACACACACACACACACATATATATATATATATATATATATATATATATATATATATATATATATGTATATATATATGTATATACACACACACACACACACATATATATATATATATATATATATATATATATATATATATATATATATATATAGAGACATTGGTATATACACACACACGCATATAAATATGTATAAAAGCATACACACACAAACATATGTATATATACACCTAGATACTTTTTGTATCTCTACTATTCCTTTCCTATTTTCTCATTGTATGATAATGCTTTTGTTATTCCCAGGGGCAACTCCCTTTTCTCGCCCCGATCGAAAGCGAAGATGAAAACAGTATAAATAATCACGCAATAAATCGTTATAATACATCCATGGATAAGCTAATATTCCTTACTTGTCTTTACCTTTTTCTTTTAAATATTCAAATTCGAAACGTTAACAGATAGTGTAGTGGCTACTAAATTAATGCCGTACGTCATGCGATCACCAAAGCATGTATTGTACCATCCTAACCAGGGAAAGAGGAGAGAGGGAGAGAGAGAGAGAGAGAAAGAAAGTGAGAGTGAGCGAGTAAAAGAGAGAGAGAAGTGTGCGTGAATGGGTGAGTGACTGTGAGTGAGGAATAGATGACAGACAGACAGAAAGAGAGTGGATGAGTTAGTGAGAGAATCAATGTGTTAGTGAGTAGTAGAGAGAGAGGAAGGAGAGGAGAGAAGGGAAGAAACCGATAGTGTGAGGTTTCACTAGACCCACATTTGTCAACAAGGCATGAAGCAGGAGCGAGGGTTGGGGGTGCTCAATGAAACAGGTGGTGAGCTGGCAGTGCCACGTAGTGGCCTTTATTTTTCAATGGTTACACACAAATATATTTTTTATGGAAAATAAGTACTTCTCTATTCTAGTTTTTAATGATATATAGATTATGCAATATTGTTCTAGAGCACATAGAGAAAACTTACAATTTATTTATAAAAAAATATAGATATTTTTTAATTCTGAGATAATAACAAAGGAACTGAGGGTAAACACAGAAACCGTGGTGTTCTCAGCATCAAAGGGGTAACTAACATATTTAACATACTCCCCACCATAGGAGGACTTACTCCCATTATAGACTAAGTATACTTAAATAAGGTAATAAAATCCTGAGAAAATTAATATGACAATTTTCTCCAAAGAGATTGCAGTTATACTGACATAATATTGAACTCATTACCTTATCTTATCTTAACCAGAAGAAACAAGAAAAAAAGTACACTTTCAAAAAATACAAATCATTACAAATCAAGTTTCACTAGGGTTCTTATTGCACGACCCCATCGACTATAGGAGGTGGGTTTCACAATGTTCTCTTCACAAGGCTCAGAGGAACCATTTTCACCGTTTCCAAGAACTGATGGTATAATATTTTCTTCAGAATCTTCTCACAGAGGATTATACATTTCAAGATCATGCAACTTCTGCACTGGTCTACTGACTGTTCCTTTGTCAGTTTTAACCCTAACACTTATCATTACCAGGGAATACTTCAGTAACTACACCTAATGGCCATTTAAGCCTAGGAACATGGTCTTCTCTGACTAGGACAACAGCACCTTTCTTTACATTGCAATTTTGCACAAATCCTTTCACAGCAGGCGGCAAATTTCTCAGATAGTCATTGCTCCATAATTCAATATCAAGTTGCTGCTGGCGAACACTTTCTCGGATAATTAAATCCTTTCCTGTAACATATGAAGGTTGATCACTAATCTGGAGTCCAGCATTACGTCCAATGAGAAAGTGTGAAGGTGTCACAGGATTTGAAACATCTGGTTCATCTCCAACAAAGGTCAAAGGTCTAGAATTTACACAAGCCTCAACTTCTTGAAGAGTGGTCTCAAGCTCAATTCTAGACAGACTTCTAATACCTATTGTTTTCCTCAAAGCAGACTTAACAGACCTAATCAAACGTTCCCACCAACCTCCCCACCATGGAGAACGGGACACAATGAATTTCCACTGAGGAGACAGTGGACCATATTCTTGCTGAAGTTGACGAGCTGCACCCAAAAATGTTCTAGCATTATCTGAATAAAAGACGGAAGGAATGCCTCTTCGTGCTGCAAATCTACGTAAAGCCAGCATGCAATTGGAGAGAGATAATGAATCAGTAAGTTCTAGGTACACTGCTCTTATTACGGCACATGTAAACAACAAAATGTATAATTTCTTGGAAGGTAAATCAATACAAAAAAGAGAACCAGCATAATCAAGACCTGTCACAGTAAAGGGAGGAGCAATCTTAACTCCTGGTAGGGGTGCAGCAGGCTGATTACAAGCTCTGGAATCAAACCTCTTACACCGAACACACACTCTACAAACAGTTTTAGCAATTCGTCTGACTCCCACTATCCAATAGCTGCCTCTTAAAGTAGATACAATGGTGGATACTCCAGCATGCTTCAAGAAAATATGCTGAAATTGAACCAAGAGCTTAGCAACATGACCTGAGGGAACTATAACAGGGTGTTTGCTTTCAAAACTCAAGTCTGCATTCTCCAAACGTCCTTTAATTTTCAACAGGCCTTCATCATCTACAAAGGGATCTAGTCTACACAAAGAGGAACTCCTTGCAGGAGATTTACCCTTTCTCAAGTCGGCAATTTCATGAGCAAATTTCTTTCTCTGTACGCAGTAAAACAATTTGGTCTTGGCTTTAACCAACTCATCAGAAGACAATGGACCTGACACTTTTACAGAATGAGGTCGGGTATTGTTTATAAATCTCATAACCAAAGCCACTACATGATGGGCTTTATTGAATTGACTCCATCTCTCAAACTCAAATATTTTAGGAGGGGTTACAGATACACAAGAAATGTTCTTTTCACTGTAACTTTCTTCTACAGGTAGCTCCACAGCTTCTCCTCTGTCACTGAAAGTTAAAGGTTTAGACAACCAAGAAGGCCCATTCATCCATAAAGTAGAATTCACAAGTGGCTCAGCTAACTCCCCTCTAGAAATGAGATCAGCAGGATTTTCCTTCCCTGAACAATGGTACCAGTGACATGGGGAGGTGAGACTCTGAATTTCAACAACTCTATTTGACACAAATGCCTTCCACCTACAAGGATTACCCTTTATCCATGCAAGTGCAACCTTTGAGTCAGTCCAACAACAATAAGTTACAGTCTTATCAAGATATAGGGCAGACTTCACAAAATCTAAGAGCCGTGCACAAAGTAAAGCACCAAGCAACTCTATTCGGGGTAAAGTAACCCTTTTTATAGGAGCTACCCTAGACCTTGCTACTACAAATGACACCAGGTATGTCCCATCCACAAGGGGAACTCTCAAATACACAGAAGCTCCATACCCCTTCTCTGAAGCATCACCAAAGGCATGAAGTTCTAGACCCGACAACTCTCTCCATGAAATTTCTGGAAAATAGCACCGATTTAGCTTCCAATATTTAAATGAAGCAATACTTTTAACCCAATTATGGAATTATTAGGTAGTACTCATTAGGTAGTACTTCATCCCAATCAAGCCCAAGTCTCCATATGTCCTGAAAGAGGATTTTAGCAAACATGACAAAGGGACTAATCAAACCAAGAGGGTCAAAAAGTTTGGCTATGAGACTAAGTACTGCTCTTTTTGTTGACACCAACTGTGTCTCTGAATCAAAATCAAATTCCTCAAAGACAAACTGGTCTGTTAAGGATAACCACTTCATACCTAAAACCATGGTGGATACGTGTTCATTACCATGATCAATTTTGTCATTGAACTTTGTAGTCAGTAATTTACAGTTTGAATGCCATTTAGAAAGAGGAAACCCACCTAATGCCAAAATTCTCTGAGCTTCTTTAAACTTAACAGAAGCCTCTTCTGCACTGTCTGCCCCCGACAGCCAATCATCCACATAAAGGTTTTCCTTTAATTCTTCTATGACTTCAGTATTAATAGTTGCATTTAGCAAAAAAGGGCTACTTGTGTTGCCAAAGGGAACACGAACAAACCTCATAATTCTAATGGAGTCTTTGCATTTCCATAAAAAGCGATGCACATCTCGGTCCTTTTCCTGAACACAGATCTGTAAGAAAACCTTGGTAATATCAGCAGTCAGTGCAACCTTCCACCTGAAACGAATCAAAACTTTCACAAGATCAGGATTAAGTGAAGGACCAGACTCAAGACAATCATTTAAAGAAATGTCATTGTAACTAGCTGCAGAAGCATCAAAAACTGACCTAATCTTAGTTGAAGCACTACTTTCTTTAACAACAGGACGATGAGGCATATAATATGTAGGCTGAGAACTTAAAACCTCATTTGAAGGGACTTCCTCAATTATTCCCTCTTCTTCATAGCCAGTAAACACCTCAGAGTATTGTTTCTTAAGTTGTGGGTCCTTATCTAACTTACGCTCTAATCCTTCTAGTCTTTTTCTAGCAAGTCCCTCATTATTTCTAAGATTCTTCTTACATTCATCTGACTTCCAGGGTAAGCCTACTTCATAACGCTCCCCATCAAACTTAACATTTCCACAAAATTGCTGTAGAACAGGGTCTGAGGTAAATGGGTTAGAAACAGTTTCCTTTTGATTTATTCCAACAGATTCTAAACTCCAAAATTCACTTAAATCAGAATCTGTTACATTCCCTATGCATAACATTTGGGTAGACTCAAATGGCTTATCAGAAGAGTTCATCCATGAGCCAGACAAAACCCAGCCAAAGACAGACTTTTGAGCTACTAATCCATTACTATGATATGGCTTTATTTCAGGGTCCATAAATCCCCAATAAGCATCCAAACCTACAAGTATATCTATACTTAGGTGGCTATAATTCTTGTAATCATCAGCAAGTTGAAAGTCTGAAAAGGCATCAACCAATTTACTAGGAATACAAGGTCTAGTTAACGGGGCACAAACCTTTGGAATCTCTAATGCCATTAAATGTTTTACACCTTGCAAACCCACTAATTTCAAATCAAAGATATTACTCTGTTTACCTGGAGGAAACTTACTACCTCCAAAAGCAGCATATGACACTGTTTCCGAGCTCACCCACTTAGGCTTAACTTTCTTCACAAGATTACTGGATACATAGGATCTATCGGAGCCAGTATCAAACAAGGTGGCTTCACAACAAATACCTGAATCACCATACACTTTAACTCGAGCTGTTTGTAACACACAGCTAGTTTTTGTCAACACATTACACTAGCTAAGAGCAACTCCAACATGATTCACTCGAGGACTGCAATTTTCTGAAGAAGGTTCGGCATTATCACTAACCTTCTTAACACTCATATCACTTTCCATAGCTTTATCTGTGTTTATTTCACCTTTTGCTCTACACAGAAGAGAATTATGATTTCCATTACACTTGGAACACTTGATTCGGCGGCCACTGGCAATATGCCCTTTACTTAGACACTTAAAACATAAACGGGCTGCTTTAATTTTTTCTTCACGTTCCTTTAATGAAAGCTTCTGAGAGCTTCTGAATATCCCAGCACTTCTCAGACTTGTGTTTCTTGCTACAGAATGCGCAATAAGAAGATCCTACTTCAGACGATGTGTAAAGAGCTGATGCAGACGGCACTCTTCTTTTCTCAGATTCCACAAAACGTCCTTCTGCCTTCCCCAACACAGCTTTGAAGGTTTCTGATCTCTCAATTTCTTTCTGAAGAAACTGCAGCAGCCAACTGATGTCACTCTCACGGCCAGAGCCCTCTCTAGCCCACTCCAATCTTAGCTCCTCAGGAAGGCATGACAGGATGAGAGGGGTCAGGAACACTTCACACTGCTCCTCTGTTACTCCCAAGGCCTGTAGGCTACGGATGTGGGTCAGCAATTCATTAAAGTAGACTCCACAAAGAGGACACATACTTTGGTCCTTTGCCTTTCTCGGAAAACCTACTATTCAAAAGTTCTTGCATATGTTTTAGTTTAATACATTCAGGTCTTCCAAATCTTTTTTCAGCAGATCACAAGCAATTTGGTAATTTGCTTCGGTATGTGCAAATCCTTTTACAACACCTTTAGCACGTCCTTCCAATAATGACTGCAGGTAGCTAAACTTAGTTATCACTGGAATGTCAGCTTTCTCATTCATCTTAAAATGGTCCCAAAATGACTGCCACAGAGTTACATCTCCATTGAACTTTGGTAACTCTAATTTGGGTAATTTTACATTTGCTATCTTGGAGCTACTAGATATTTTACTGGGACTCGAGGATGAAGAGGAATCCCTCTGCTCACCTTTCATCATATCCCCCCACCTCTGTGCAGCTTGCAGCCTGGGCTTACGGACTTCTTGGAAAAACTCAGAGGCGCTATCGAGCTCTTCATCCAAGTTCACAAAATCAGTCTCTAATTCTAACATTGTTTGTACCTCCTCCAAGCTGGCAAGACGTTGATCAAAGTCATCCATGGCAGCTTGCAGATCGATGACACTAACATCTGGATTGTTGAGAAGGCCCTTTAGTACGTTAGACTTGCGAGTTGCCCACCCTCGGGCGACTGCCCTCTTCTTCTGAAGTTTCTCCATGTCTCCCATTGTTGACACAAAAAATACAACCGGGATTCTTTACAGAACCTCTTTCCCGGGTCTGGGCACCAAAATATGAGGTCTCACTAGACCCACATTTGTCAACAAGGCATGAAGAAGCAGGAGCGAGGGTTAGGGGTGCTCAATGAAACAGGTGGTGAGCTGGCAGTGCCACGTAGTGGCCTTTATTTTTCAATGGTTACACACAAATATATTTTTTATGGAAAATAAATACTTCTCTATTCTAGTTTTTAATGATATAGATTATGCACTATTGTTGTAGAGCACATATAGAAAACTTACAATTTATTTATCCAAAAAATATAGATATTTTTAATTCTGAGATAATAACAAAGGAACTGAGGGTAAACACAGAAAACGTGGTGTTATGAGCATCAAAGGGGTAACTAACATATTTAACAGATAGGTATATATAAAGTGAGGAACTGAGTGAGCGAGATAGAGAGAGCGAGAGAGAAAAAGAGAGAGATAGGAGAGATAGATATAGAAAGAGTGAGCGAGTAAAAGAGAGAGAAGTGTGCGTGAATGGGTGAGTGACTGTGAGTGAGGAATAGATGACAGACAGAGAAAGAGAGTGGATGAGTTAGTGAGAGAATCAATGTGTTAGTGAGTAGTAGAGAGAGAGGAGGAAGAGGAGAGAAGGGAAGAAACCGATAGGTATATATAGAGTGAGGAACTGAGTGAGCGAGAGAGAAAAAGAGAGAGAGAGGAGAGATAGATGTAGAAAGAGTAAGTAACTGTGTGACATAGAGAGAGAGGGGGGGGGGGGGGATGGGCGAGAGAGAAAGAGAGAGAGAGAGGGAGAGGGAGAAGAAAGGAGAACAAGAAAGAGAGAGGATATGAAAGAATGAAAAGGATAGAGAGAGAGAGAGGAAGTGGAAGAATTAAAAGGAGAAATAGAGAGAGAGAAATAGAGAGGAAGGGAAAGAATGAAAATAATAATAATGATTTAGTTAATTACACTTATTACAATGATTATTTTTATGTTTGGTGTGATAGGCTGCCTGTTTACATACATACATATATAGAGACATATACATATATATACTTATATATGTGTATATACACATATATATACACATCAATTCTCTATTGAGAGGTTATTGGGCATATATATATATGTGTGTGTGCATTTGTGTGTATTTATCTCTCTCTCTCTGGGTGCCCTATCCGATACAGACGTTGGCAACCATGGTTCTCCACAAAGCCAGCAGCAACTCGATTTTACCTAAATTAAAACACTTGCTTAGGCTACTGATGTAAGTCAGCCTTGATCTTCCTCCACTGTTATAGAAATAACATTCAGCTGTTGAGGGGTACAGGAACCTCGCCTTATCCTGTCAGGCTTTGGTCTGCCCTTGTATGGGTAGTGCGGAGCGTGTGGAGCTCACCATCCGTCTGCCGTCACCATCTTCGCGACCTAACCGCCTCACCTGCTTGCCGCGCAACTTAGGCCTCCTTAGCCGTGACGTCACGCCTGTTCACTATGCAAACACGCTTGTTTTCCGTGCCTACATACGCGTCACCATTTTACACTCAAGTTTACCATTATTTTGCTCATGGCACGTTGTTTAAAGTTCGTTACTTATAATTTTAGAAACTTAAAGCTAATTATAGTTAACGTATATTGTCAATACGTGACAGATGGTTATCATTGTACATGCATGATTTCGGAACTTAAATGATTCTTTCCATTCTTTCCAGTTATACAACCTTGATAAAACAGTACCATTGGAATATAACAGTGTACCCTTTAAATAAAGAGAATGTATTATTGGGGGTAACAACACAAAAAATTATACTTTATAGGATCATATTTTACAGATTCCTAATCTTAGTAGAAAAAAAAGATTATTTCTAGAAAAATAATTAATTCCTTTTATCTTACATAGCTAAAGACTAAAAATTGAGGTATACATTAATAATATATGCATAGACCAAGTGAGGCATACCCAGGGTGGTTTCCAGACGATTTTTTGGGTCATTCTAAGTTCACAGCCTTTGTGCTCGTTACACATTAAGTCATTAACCTTAGATTGATAGAGAGGACAGGTGTTGCCCTTTCCGTCCGTCTTATATCGGCGGCTTGCAACTCACGCAGGTGCGATGCAGCCGAAGTCGTTGCATGCCATCCCTTTTTTACCATAATTTGCATATCTATATTATCCGAAATTTCTTGTTCCAAAAGTGGTTACTAGATATTTTTTAACATTAATGAATGTTTGGTTCAATGACCTTCATAAAAAAAAAAATAATAATAATAGATATAAATAAATAAATAAATAAATAAAAATATATGATAATAACGCATCAAATAAGATTAAGCTTGACTTAGAGGCAAGACACAAGGCTTAGATTTCAGCATTCCTTTGCATTAAACATCCTTCCGGAAAGCAAAACATATGTTGCTTATCTGTAAGATGCCATCCGAGTGTTGAGGAAAAGACTTGGAAATGGATGCGTGTCCGCTTGTGTTATCTCATAATCAAAACTGAAAACAACAAACATATCTTATGTTGTTTTTTTTTCCCCACCGTATCCCCCCCAAAAAAATGATAAGTATGTACACCGAGGCAGGAAATTACAATAATCATGTCAGGCTTGCATCCTGTTGTTGGAGATGATATACAAAAAGTGGACCACATCATTAGATAATTGATAAACAACTTTTCGTATCGCATTTCTTCATTTCAGATTATCATTTTCTGTTACCTATTAAAAAAAATATAAGCAGACAAGGCAACAACACGAACTTCCATCTAACCCGCACAGTTTACCAAAACAATATACATACATAAGAATTTTAAACTTTTTTTTTTCTCGAGAATACACTCTTGGGTCCGCCCTCTGCTATTCCTTTCCTATTTTCTCATTGTATGATAATGCTATTGTTATTCCCAGGGACAACTCCCTCTTCTCGCCCCGATCGAAAGCGAAGATGAAAACAGTATAAAAAATCATGCAACAAATCGTTATAATACATCCATGGATAAGCTAATTGTCCTCACTTGTCTTTACCTTTTTCTTTTAATTACCTAAATTCGAAACGTTAACAGACAGTGTAGTGGCTACTAAATTAATGCCGTATGCCATGTGATCACCAAAGCATGTATTGTGTCATCTTAACCGGGGAAAGAGGAGAGAGAGAGAGGGAGAATGAGCGAGTGAGTGAAAGAGAGAGAGAGGGAGAGTGAGTGAGTGAGTGAAAGAGAGAGGTGTGCGTGAGTGAGTGAGTGACTGAGACAGTGAGATAGAGAGAGATGGAATGGGTGAAAGACAGAGATAAAGAGAGTGGATGAGTTAGTGAGAGAAAGAAAGAGGGAATCAATGAGTTAGTGAGTAGTAGAGAGGGGAGAGGAGAGGAGAGAAGGGAAGACACAGATAGGTATATATAGAGTGAGTAACTGAGTGAGTGATAGAGAGAGCGAGAGAGAGAGGAGAGATAAATAGATAGATATGGAAAGAGTAAGTGACTGACTGTGTAGAGAGGGAGAAGAAAGGAGAACGAGAAAGAGAGAGGAGATGGAAGAAGGAAAAGGATAGAGAGAGAGAGAGGACGTGGGAGAATTAAAAGGAGAATGAGAGAGAGAGAAATAGAGAGGAAGGGGAAGAATGAAAATAATAATAAATCAGTTAATTCTACTTGTTACAGTGATTGTTCTTATGTTTGCTGTGATAGGCTGTCTGTTTTGCTTCTAAATCATTCCCTGTGTGCAAAGAATGGCCAGGGTTACCATCCATATTATTTTGGTAAACTGAGCGGGTTAGATGAAAGTTCGTGTTGTTGCCTTGTCCGCTCGTTATTACTATATTTTTATTTTATTTATTCATTTATTTATTTCTATCTATTATCATTTTTGAGGAAGTTTATTGAACCAAACATTCATTAATGCTAAAAAATATCAAGTGACCACTTTGGGAACAAGAAATTTCGGAGATAATATAGATATGCAAATTATAGTAAAAAAAAAAGGGATGGCATGCAACGACTTCGGCTGCATCGCACCTGCGTGAGTTGCCGATATAAGACGGACGGAAAGGGCAACACCTGTGGTTCTTTTGTCCTCTCTGTCAGTGGGTTAATGACTTAATGCTCATCAGATTCAGACTCAAATATATTCATTTCGTCATTCTGATAATCAGCTGCAACGTCACATTCCCCGTAGAGTACTGCAGGTTTTCAAAGAAGCCAGTTTCATTTAGGTGTCGATAAACTATGGAAATTGCTAGAAAACTATAAGTGGTATGTCCTGAACAAAAGATTCTGTTACACAGCACTTATTTCATATTATCTTTCATCACCACACAAAACCATTTTTTTTCTCACAAGCGTCACTATTACAAAACGGTTTGTCCTGTGTTGAAGGTCCACAAGAACTTCCAAATAAGCGTCCCACTTATTAATAGGTCTTTGTCTAACGCAAAGTGTTCCATTACCTTCACCGCGTTTAATTATTATTGTTATTCTATTATTAGTAGCATTATCATCATCCTCACCATATCATCACCATCAGCGATCATTATCACCATATCATCACCCTATCACCATCATCATCATCATCGTAACGCGTATCATCTATCTTCACCATCTCCTATTCCCCCGCCCTTATCCCCTCTTCAATCTTGGATCCCCTTCAAGTGGGCGACAGAGCCTTCGAGTCGCGCCTGAGGAGTCGCGCGAGAAGCTCCTTGTTCTGGCAAAACTCCACCACCAGATGCCGCTTCTTCTTGCTCGAGAGGAAGATCAGGAACACCACGAGGCCTTGGAGGGAGTTGAGGAGGTCGGTGACAATCCTGTGGATTGCAGTTTCCTTATTGTTATTGTTATTATTATTATTATCATTATTATTATTGTTACTATCATTATAATTATCATTATAATCATCATTATTATTATTATTATTATTATTATTATTATTGTTACTATCATCATCATCATTATTACTATCATTATAATTATCATTATAATCATCATTATTATTATTATTATTATTATTATTATTATTATTGTTACTATCATCATCATCATTATTACTATCATTATAATTATCATTATGATGATGATGATGATGATGATGATTATTATCAATAATATCATTATTATCATTATTGTTGTAATGATGATAATAATGATGTGTGTGCGTGTGCGTGTGCAGAATGTGCCGTCCAGCTTACCACATGCCCTCAGGCGGGATCTTCCAGGAGAGCAGCTCCGTGACCCAGCACACGGCCATCAGCGTGAACAGACTGAACCGCTGCCAGTACCTGCAGTTTACGGAACAGTGATTAATGACTAGAGAGTTGTACTTTAGGTGAAAAGCAGCTTCGCGTTAATGTTTGAAATGTTAGATTATCTGACTGATATTGGAGAAATGACAGTATCATTTTGTTATCCTTATGCTCCCGTGTAGAATGGTAAAGTAAAATATTGCATAATAAAAAAAACACTCCTTCAATAAATACACTTGTTAACCAAAAAGGTATTGGATGTATTGCAAAAAATATACATATATCCTCTGGAATGAACATACTTCTTAATAAAGAAAACTTTTATTACAAAGAAAGTTGTAAACGTTCTAAGAAAAAAAAAGTACAGATAAAAGGTAAGCCAAAAAAATAAATAAATAAATAAATAAATAAATAAATAAATAATAAATAAATAAAGAAAATATAAAAAAAAACATTGGCATTTTACAAAGAAAATCCACATATTCCTCTAAGCAGCTTCACCAGTTTCACACTGAGGATTCCAAAGAATGAATGACACAGAAAGCATACTCACGCGTCGAGGTGAACGCGATTGAACGCTCTCGGGCTCTCGGTCTTGCTGCAGCAGTCGAGCGCAGCCCCTGCTCGGAACAGCATGTAGATGGTGTGGCCGAGCAGCAGCAGATTTACCAAGAACAGCGCACCGACCAGGCCATAGAAGTAGACGAGGCGTTCGAGGTCGCCTGCAAAGGTGCCACAGGCCAGGTATCGTTATCGCATGCGGTGGCGTAACAAGGTTTGGCTGTTGTTTACACGCGTTCGAAAGGGGTCTCTGTGACGACTCTCTTGAAAGGGAATTGCGTCGCTAATACATCAGCAATATTGAAGGAAATAACCTCTAAAGTTTGAAGGTAATGATGATAATGATAATGATAAAAGTTACCCCCCACCTCGAAAAAAACAAAACAAAACAAAGAGAACATTAAAGTCCTTGACCGCCAGCCACATAACACACTAAACCGAACTCACCGTGTAAAACAAACAAACAAAGAGAACATTAAAGTCCTTGACCGCCAGCCACACAACACACTAAACCGAACTCACCATGTAAAAAGCAATTAACAACCCCGAAATCCGGACGGATCACGCCAGCCACGACGAATCTCTCCGGCAGGAAGAAGAGGAGGGCGCTGACGGAGGTGACGACGAAGGGGCCGCCCCACGCGTACGCAGAATAGGCCTTGAATTTGTTCGAGTCGTTGGATAAAATGCCCGTAAGTGGGACGAGGTTCACAGTCGCTCTGTTTGACAAGGGACGAGAAGGATCAGGACGAGAGAGTGATCGTGGCCGGGAAGGAATAGCGTTACAGGTGTCTTGTCGTGTCTGTATTTCGTGTTTGTTGTGATTTCTAGTGCACTGTACCTGATCACACGCCAGATGTCGAAGCACATGACGTTGAGCCAAAAGAAGGTGGCCAGGAAAGACATCTGGATGATCATACCTGCAATACCCCAAAATAATGACGGTAATAATGATGATGATGATGATAATGATAATGATAATGATTATAATAATGATAAATATAATCATAATAATATTAATAGTAGTAATGATAACAATGGGGATGATTATTATTATCATTATCATTGTTAGTACTATTAAAATCATTATCATTATTATTATCATTATCATTATTACTATTATTGTTATTACTATCATTGATCATGACAAGGATTTTCTGCAAATTAATAGGAAACACGACAGAGTTTTACCATTTATCACACACGCCAAGCCAGGATCCCTGTAGGTGGGCAAATAGCTAATGAAGAGCGCGGCATCTGCTACAAAAAGTGACACCATATGACACAGGAAACAGAGTCCCTGCGTGTCACGTAACTTTGGAACCACGATGTGACACAGGATCGTCACCGCCAAGAACACGCACGACACCGCCACGCCGGCAGTTTGTAGGTATATTTTGATCATGTCTCTCACCTCGATGCACACCAGCGCCATTGGGACCGACCCTGGAATGACGGCACGGGGTTAGAGGTCATGTCAGCCTGGATGATTATTTTGAGGCGTTCCTTTCAACTGCATGACATCTTTTGAATCAGGTACTTCTGGAACACGTTTTCGGCAAAGGATAGATACAACGCCTGTAATGTAAGGTTAAATAGGATGACGTGGCTATGTAACAATATAAACATTGTAAGCTAACATTTGCTTGGTATATAGAGCTCATTTCGACGGCAAGGTGAGTGTACTGACATTCAGTCCATTCGTCAATGCAGTAGCTGCCAATGGAATAGTACTGGTCATTCGCCGGGTGGTAGAGTCGGCTGTTTGGCAGAATCAGGTAGCGGTCATTAGGTTCCTTCTGCGGGTTGAGCATAATTATGGAGTCACAGTGAGGCACCTTGTCGATAACCTGGAGGTTCTTGGGAATCTCGACTGGGTCTCCTTGAAGCGAACGAAACTCCGGGGAAAACCCTCTGCCCTGGCGCTTGACACATCTACGGGAGAGTGACATAACCTCCCCTACGCCGCAGCATTTCTGGATACAAGTCCTGTCGTTGCATATCTGTGTGCACGGTTACAAGGGTAGATTGATGATGTAAATTCGTACTTCCGAAGTTATTATTCGTGGTTATACTCGCATAAATAAGTCACAACTATAAAAGAGGCGCCAAGGAAATTACTTGGTTTGTATCTGGGCGGCAAGTAGCAGCGCGATATCCGCCATGTGGAGTACGTGTCACGCAGTATTCCTCCGTCTCTTTGGACACGAGCTCGAGCCATCGCAGTGCTACACCGTCCTCGCTCACAATCAGCCAGTTCTGGTTCCCATCCAAGTCATAAGGCGTCTCCCTAAAGCCGTTGGGACACCTCAGAGGTTGATACGACCAAGCGATTTCCTGCGACGCCTGCGACAGGTTCCCATAATGGAGCGGAGGCGAGAAGGCGGCCGCGGTGCCTGAAGAAGCAGCTCTGCAGGGGGTGTGGTCGCCTCCGCAGCATCGCCGACCTCTGGGAAGGCCGGAGGAGGCTGTTATTCCCTGCTGTGGGGCCACGACGCGGCACGTCACGCCCGTCCACAGCGCCACGGAAACGATCCACAGAAAAATGTGTCTCGTCATCTTGATTTTGGGAAACGCAGCCACTCGTGTTGAACTTGCTCAGGTTTACCTCAGACTTGGACGGGGAATTCTGTGCGCACGAATATGTCTTTGTGTCAGTCGTGAATTACAGGTGAATTATACATATGGAAATTAAAGAAAGAGTATATAGGTATACACTTTAATAAAATGTGTAATAATGTATACTACAAGCATAAAGGCGCACAGAAACATAAAAAAAACGTTTATATGTAAATAAGTTTGTATACAATATGTATGTAAATATGCATGTATGTATGTATGTTTATATATACATATATATTGTACTTATATACATATATATATTGTATGTATATATGCATATATATATATATATATATATATATATATATATATATATATATATATATATATATATATATATATATATATATAGATTGATAGATATATAGATATAGGTATTTGTATAGATATTTGTACACACATAAATACATATGTACACATATATGTGTGTGTGTTTGTGTGTATGAACCCAGCACAAATACACACACAGATATATATATATATATATATATATATATATATATATATATATATATATATATATATGTATATATATATATACATATACGTACAAATATATATACATATACATACATCTGTGTATGGATATATACACATATATATGTATACATACATATGTATATATATATGTATATATATATATATGTACACACACACACACACACACATATATATATATATATATATATATATATATATATATATATCTGTGTGTGGATATATATGCACAAATATATATGTACACACATACACACATATATATGTATATATATATATATACACATAGGCGTAGGAGCCGGGGGGGGGGGGGGGGGGGCTGGGGGGCTGCAGCCCCCCCAGTCGGATAAATGCTGATTGAATTCAGGCAATTTTGGGCAACGGGCATAGAAATTGGAAATTATCCATTTTGCGAAAAAGATATTGGTAAAAAACAGGGGCGTAGATAGGAAAATTCATAGAGGGGGGCGAGAAATGAAGATATCCCGACAAAACTTTGACACTAATTCTCATTTTTTATTATTCTGAACATAACATAAGGCCACTAGAACTTAACGAAACAGAAAACCATCGTTATTTTTTCGACAAGTGCAGACATTTTCCGACAAAATGGCAGTTTAGCCTTATAGGTAGGTTTTTCGCCCCTCCCCCCCGTCCCCCTCTATCTACGCCACTGGTGGCATTTATCACAAATTTTCTGGTAGGTGAAATTTCTCTTCCTCTTTCACTCGGACAGAAAATTTGCAGCCCCCCCTAAATTTTAAATGCCCCTACGCCGATGTATATACTTACATATATATAATTATCTATACGCGTGTGTGTGTGTGTGTTTGTGTATGCATACGTACATATGAATATATACAGTATACATATATATGTATATATATACATATACTACACACACACACACACACATATATATATATATATACATACACATACACATGGGCATGGGTGTACTGTGTTCGTAAACAAATGATACAGAACCATGAGGATCCGTGCAAAGAACCAACCTCTCTCAAGACGAAAGCAACGAACCCCAAAGAGCTTTCTGCAGCGCCCGTGTCTTCTGTCCTCTTCGTCGCCTCCCGCCGCGTCACTCGGAAAGCGCAGGGTGCCACTGGCGCCGAACCCTAGGCAGGCGCGAGCGTCCGCGGGACGGCCCGGGGCGCGTGGGAGGAGAGGCATTGTTACGTGACCATGGTGCCTTGACTTGCCTGGCTTCTCGGTTTTCGGTTCCTGTCGCAATGGGGAAAGGGAGGTCGCGGGTTTGGTTTAGTGCATGTTCTGTTTCTGTATTCTCTCTCTCCATCTATCTCTGTCTCTCTCTTTCTCACTCACTCTCTATTTTTTTGTGTGCCACTCTATCTCTCTCTATCTATTTCTCCCTCCCTCTTTACTTTTTTTTCTCTCTCATTCCTCTCTGTCTCCATCTACTAGTCTAACTACCTGTGTCTATTCTGCTATTACTGAATCTACACAAACGATTCACAGATATCTGAAACTTACGATACGATTGGAGATGTGAAAAGAGGGAAGGAATTCCAGCATATTTGGGAGAGCCTATAAAAGGAAGGAGAAAAAAAATATTTGGATGAAGGCCTACGTAATCTCCGTGACGTCAGAGCAGACAGGAAAAGCACCAACCCATGTGACTCATTTTAGTTTTTATATTATAAAAAAAATAGACCAACAAAGCACGTAGACAAACGACACCCGAGCAGGGATGGAAGGCACGTGACCCTTTCCACGAAAGGATAATCAGACAGTCTACAGTTGGTGATATGTTCAGTTAACAACGAAATGGCTCACTCAAAGGGGATTAGAACTGGAGTTTCTATATATATATATGTGTGTGTATGTATGTTTATATATACACATGTACATACATTATATATATATATATATATATATATATATATATATATATATATATATATATATATATATATATCTATATATATATATATATATATATATATATATATATATACATACATATATATATATATATATATATATATATATATATATATATATATGTATATATATATATATATATATATATATATATATATATATATATATATATATATATATATATATATATATACATCTATTGTGGAACTGACGATCCACTCAACTGCTCGGACTGCTCCCGGAATTTCTGCTGATCTCACTTGTTCTTCAGGTGGGAATATATGATGACCCCCATAGCGCCTTAGAGGGTTTAGCCGAACTTTTAGCCAGAAGTGATCGGCCTCATCGGTGCGTCTGGCTTGCGTGGAGAGGGATTACTATAGAAATATTATCGAGACGCATTCTACTCGGCTCCGTCACGTAGACGATATCCTCGTTATCGTCCCCAAAAGATCGTGCTTACGTCATACACTGACGGAACTTAACTCCGTCCACGAGAAAATCTGGATTACCGTGGAGGAAGAAGAGGACCAGATCCACTACTGCTCTGCAAACAGTAATGAAACAAAATCTGGGGTTGTAATTGGTTTCTTCCTCAGAACGCTGAGGATTAGCAGTCTTGAATTCCATGAGGCTGAAGTTGCCCATGTGATCAATTCAATCATGAAACATGAATAACCCAATGATTTCTTTCTGAACCTCAGGAAGATACTACCAAAACCAGGCTCTGCACCCAATGCAAATTTCCTCATACTACCGCCCAGCAACATTTCTGAGGCTAACGAAGGATAATTTCGCAGTAACAGTAAAAATCACAAGCACATCCGGTGAAAGGATACATGATACAATGTGAGACAGAAACCGCCTACAACCTCGACAGCGGTCCGTCACCACAGAACTTCCAGTGCCATAGCTGGTGCATTTTCCGAAATGGAAGTAGAAGTAATCCATGGATGATTCAAATAAACCGAAAAAGAAAAATTAAGGTATTTATCCAAGGCAACAGTTATGCGGGAAACGAGCAACGGGTCACGATCGTTGCAGTTGCAGATGAATAAGTTTCGCATCCATAGTCAAGTATGCTACAAATAAGCGCTTGGTAAAGTTGCAGAAGTTTTGTGTGGTCTGAACCCCAAGATGACACTCCCTTGTGGGACCCCTTCCAGCTGATCTTCCAGGTTCCCCACCTGTACTCTAAAATTCCTATCAGCAAGGAAGCTTTGTATGAAGGTAAGTAATGCTAATCTTGTATGCCACGCTTCCAAGTAGCATTGTAAGCCTTTTTGAAGTCAATCAAGACTGTAACATGTATGTATTTTCCCCCAAGCCCATGTTCATATCCTATAATTCACGACTTGAGGAATACTCGTCAGCTCCTGTAGCGATTGTGAGTGGCAGAGCAGCTGCCCATAAACCGCTAAAGTTCCATAATGGGCTTAAACTTGGAATCCTCTCAAGGAAATCGGGCGATTTTTCCTGGTCATAATTTCCTCCCATTTTGCAAGAATTCCCTGACAGTTCTTCAAGGTTGACGAAATACCTTTTCATAAGGTGTTTGACAGCATCTGTGGTTAAGGCCCACCCCAGATCTTCAGGCTGTCCCATTCCATCATCTTAGGAGTACCTTTTGGAGGATTGTTTACCTGTGGAAACATTTTCCAAAGGCTTCCTTGGACAGGCTCAGGATTTCTTAGCCTGGGCAATGGGCAGACCTGAGCCTTTAGTTCAGGGGCATACTGTCTAGCAGTGGAGATGTGGTGGCAATTTCAACTATCACTGTTGAGGCCTCTTGAGCCTTGACAGATAGCTCCAAAGACTTTGGGAGGATTATACTACAAGCAGATGCTGTCCCATACCACATTGCTGATCACGAGCTTATAACCATGACCTTAAAAAAACAAAAACAACAAAAAGAAAGCAAAAAACAGTCACTAAAACCTCTAGCGACCTAACGCATTACGATCCTCAGTTACTCTGCCAACATATTATAGCCAATGAATCATTGCTGTCAGAGATCATAACAACAGATGATGTTTCCACAAAAGTTTTTTTTTTCATTTAAGCACTGTGCGAATAAATAAAATAAAAAGAAAACATAAACAATGTTTTTTTTTTTTGTGCAAAATTTTGAGATATTAATATCTTAACACAATTCAGGCAAAAGGAAAAACCGTCTTGATGATACTGTAGCACATACATTGGAAATTACTGCATAAAAATAAGAAGCTGATGGTGGAGATATAATAGCTCGAAGTCTAAAAAACTTACTTTCGAGAAAACGCCGCTCAAAGATAGTGGCCCCCCTCTGGGGGTGCCTGTTTCTCATTTTCTTGGTATGAGTATACAACACTCCCAAACGCTCATGTAGATAAGGCCCACCCCAGATCTTCAGGCTGTCCCATTCCATCATCTTAGGAGTACCTTTTGGAGGATTGTTTACCTGTGGAAACATTTTCCAAAGGCTTCCTTGGGACAGGCTCAGGATTTCTTAGCCTGGGCAATGGGCAGACCTGAGCCTTTAGTTCAGGGGCATACTGTCTAGCAGTGGAGATGTGGTGGCAATTTCAACTATCACTGTTGAGGCCTCTTGAGCCTTGACAGATAGCTCCAAAGACTTTGGGAGGATTATACTACAAGCAGATGCTGTCCCATACCACATTGCTGATCACGAGCTTATAACCATGACCTTAAAAAAACAAAAACAACAAAAAGAAAGCAAAAAACAGTCACTAAAACCTCTAGCGACCTAACGCATTACGATCCTCAGTTACTCTGCCAACATATTATAGCCAATGAATCATTGCTGTCAGAGATCATAACAACAGATGATGTTTCCACAAAAGTTTTTTTTTCATTTAAGCACTGTGCGAATAAATAAAATAAAAAGAAAACATAAACAATGTTTTTTTTTTTGTGCAAAATTTTGAGATATTAATATCTTAACACAATTCAGGCAAAAGGAAAAACCGTCTTGATGATACTGTAGCACATACATTGGAAATTACTGCATAAAAATAAGAAGCTGATGGTGGAGATATAATAGCTCGAAGTCTAAAAAACTTACTTTCGAGAAAACGCCGCTCAAAGATAGTGGCCCCCCTCTGGGGGTGCCTGTTTCTCATTTTCTTGGTATGAGTATACAACACTCCCAAACGCTCATGTAGATTACTGGCGACGTAGCCCAGTAATCTACATTGTAGTCTGCAGTCGCCAGGGCTGCCGCAAAATTCAACTTTTTCTTTGTAGTGTTGAAATGCTTTGGGCATTACATCCAGATGCGGCTGTGAAAGGACTCACTCGGATTTTGTGTAAGTTCTTGCAAGCACCTTTTCATAATTTCCTCCAATGTGAGGCGGCTGTATACATTCTTTACCGTGTTCCGTTTTCAGTTGGTTGTTCAGTCCAGTTGGTGGTTCCCTGAGGGTCCTAGGCTCCGTCCTCTGGTAATATAGCTGCCATACCAGTTAGCAAAACTTTGAAGGATTTTTTTTTTATTGAAAAAAAAAAAAAAATCATCCAGGGCTATGCAGGAAGCTTGTGACTCATCGCGGCTGAGCACATAGGTCCCTTTAACTGCCATTTAAAATGCCAGAACAATGTTTGATTTTTTGAGGCGGGAAACTCCAAACCACATTTTGGCTCGAAAACATCGATTTTTACCCTGGGTTCCCCCTTAAGAAAGATAAATTCAGTGGGAGCGATTAACATTGCACATCGTTTCATAAACGACAGTTAACTAACAATTGCATTACCACCAGTAATAACTAAAGTTCTCGAGAAAATAGTTGCAAACCAATTAACAGCATTTTTGGAAGCGAATAACCTTATATCTAATACACAGCATGGTTTTAGGAGTAAATTATCAACAGAGACAGCATTACTAAAAGTCACAAATGAAAGTTATAAAGATATAGACAACAGCCAGATCAATTTGTTCATTCTGTGTGCGTTATCAAAGGCCTTTGACAGTGTTAGCCATGAATTACTTGTAAACAAATTAACAAATTACGAATTTGATAATTTTGGGTTCAAAAGTTACCTGTCTATGAGAACTCAGTCAAAATCCATGAAAAAGTATCATCAAAGCAATCACAGGTCATTGGTACCTCCAGCAACCCCCGCCGCAGCAAGGCGCCTTCCAGTAGGGGTATATATATTTTAAAAATATCAATATCAGTAACAACAGTAACGAT